CTCCCTACGACCACGTGTCAGGGGCGGAAAATGGCCACGGACCACGTGTCAGGGGCGGAAAGTGGCTGCGGACCACGTGTCAGGGGCGGAAAAATGGCCACGGACGTGTCAGGCGGAAAAATGGCCGCGGACCACGTGTCAGGGGTGGAAAATGGCCGTGGATCCGGTTCATAACTCGAGGTGGTTCACAACACGAGGTAAATTTTTGGGGCCAGAGCTGGTCGTAACATGAAAAATTCATAAGCAGAGACGTTTGTAACTCGAGGTACCACTGTAATAGATGGATGGATGGATAGAATAAAAGGGACATTATGCACAACAGAGCCATTTTTTACTCCTTTAGAAGAGGCTACACAGCCAACTCCATACCTGTCTGTGATCAAGACCCCTTCGTAGATATACTTGGAAGGAAAAAGGCAGATCTCTGGGTGCATCCGATACTGAATTTTCAGCTGAAAGACTGGACATTTTCCAAAAGCATTTTCTTGATCTTGGTCCCTAAGATGCCTGCAGAGGCGGCCTAGCAGAGACTGGTCGTATCTGTAATCCTGTGCTTTCTAGCAACATTGGAAAACAAGACATTCAGAAGGCAGCCCAGCCAAGAAATATACTGCAGAAATCTAGCCTTCCACAATCTTCACCAGCAACATGGAAGGGTCAGTTTTACTGTATCTATTTTACAGATTGGGAAAATAGAGGAGGTAAACGACTTTGTTTACAAGGTCCAATTATCAGCACAGAGCCAACAGTCCTGATGTTAGTTTCCACCATCTTCTCCCCCCGAAAAGAGGACTGGGTTCAGAACAGGTTTACAAAGGCTACTGAGGTCCAGATGCCATAGGCACAAATGGCATGGAGACCATGAACAAGGTCAAGCTTCATTCCTTCCTCCCAAAAAGTTTTCCCCAAGATGCTTCTCCCACCAGAAGAGTGGCTGACATGCTTTGGAAGGATTTTTCATTTACTCAAACACAAGGAAAACAGATTCCTGTAATTATCTCATCTATCAAGTATCCCTGAATTCCAGACAGTGAATTCCCCTGTGTATTTAGCATATTGTTTATTTGATTAGAAAGGGGGTAAGGGGGGGCAGTGTACGAGCATGGCAATAACTGAGGCAGTGACAGAGAACTAAGCAATTAATTTAATCCTGCAATTAACTTGATTGCAGCCACAAAGGCAGTTTGCAGACCGTTAGGAGCTGATTAAAAAAAATAATAATAATATTCCCACTAGTGTAATAAACAGACAAAAGCTAAGCTGGCCACCCAGGGAAATAATTTGGGGAATCAGAGTCCCAACGCATCTGGAGGTTGCTGAGCTGAGCAGCTTGTAGGAAAACAGCTGTTGGAAGCTTGGCAAGGATCTTCCAGTTTTTGGCTATGCAAGTTCACCTTTCTTACACCTGGATGCATCTTAATGGTGCGACGACGTACCATGGACTTTATGGTGGGAGGGAGCTGTTTGGGGTCTCCGACCAGGACCAGCTTCTTACAGTCATAAATCAGCGGAATGAGGGTCTCAATTTCACACGTCTGCCCTGCCTTTTAACGAGAAAGTACCGGTGTGGGGGAAAAAAAATTAGGAACTGCAAAGAGGAGATGAGGAACAACAAACAAACAGAAATGTTGGAAAGGTCTGCAGAATTCTTTCCAACCTGAAGCTTATTCAGCTCTTATTTTCAGAGTTAGAGTTTCCCCAGTTTTTTTAATTTGGCCCACAGCCTTTGCAAGGATAGCCTACATGTTGCTTTTAAGGGTTTTTTCCCCCCCCAAGTCTTAGTTTTAATGGGTTTTTTGAGCTATGCCCAACTCATAGTAAACCTACAACTGGATGTAGCCCTCTGGTTTTGCACTGCAAAGAAAACGTGTTTTAAAAACTATTTCCCCCCGTGAAAAAGTGGATCAGGAATGGGCAGCTGGATTTGAAACATGGGAAAAGTAACTTTGCAAATTAAAAAAAGGTTAGAGAGCAATAATTCCTGCTCTGAGAACAGAAGCATGTAATTGTCGGAACGAGAAAGAATTTATTCCCAGCACATGGTGGAAGTAATGTACTGTTAAATTGTTCTTGCCCTGCCAGAGGCCAGGAAATGCGCTGTGCTTTGCTAAATGGGGCGGAGGCGGGTGGCAGCCATCTCAGGCCATGATGGACTGCCTTCGAGTGATGGGTCACATTTATAACGCGGGTAATTAATCCAGGCAGCAAACTCTGAGGTGCAAAAGCTCTTGGAGGATATTAATGTAGTTCTTCCCATAAGATATTAATGGTATTTGGGGGCAAGGCAGGAACCGTGCCTTTGCAGAACTCGACATTGGGAGGAACGGCACCGTTTTAGCATCGTCTGAGCGGAGCTGGCTATGTTGGGCCACTGAACGGGGCAGGGGGGCACGTGGGTGCCAGAATATTTTCAGAAGTAGCACCGGCCACAGGAGACATGCCCCATCAGGCTAGCCCCCAGGGGCTCATGACCGCCAAATTAATATGAGAACCACTTACTCAATGCAAATGTCGTTTCATTCACATGACACGGTGTACCCTAACCCGGGTTAACAAACGGCCAATTTGCCAGTACAGGAGGGCACCCAAGCAAGCTTGGTTTAATTATTTTATTTATTTAGACTCAGGCGCCGCCTGACTCCAAAATGGCTCTGGGCGGCTAACAATATTGCACAAAGTCACAATAAGCTATGGCAGAGTTTAACAGGATGGCATGATTCAACCAGCACACTGATGTCTAAACCACTCGAGTCTAACTTGGACAAACTGTAACGTTGCTGTGAATGAGAGCACTAAGGAAAACCAGTTCAAAGCTCCTGCTACGGTCATGACTGGATTTCCGTCACAGAGCGACCCACTTTGGCCTTGGCTAGGCCACTGTACGACTTGGCCCGTCATTACAGAATAATTTATCTTAAGCATTCAAAAGCCTTTATGCTTTTTGGAGCAGGAGTCCTCCCTGCAAACAGACAGCCCTGTAAGGTAGGCCAGTGTGACGCTCCCCATCTGGCTGCCAATTCCCTTCCAGGTACAACCTTTTTAAAACTTTCAAGAGCTTGGGACCAAAGGGTCAAACAGCCTCTCGATTCCTGCACCTGTCCAGCCTTCAAGAAAAATTACAGACGCTTTCCTGAGTTGCCATCTGCCAAAACCACGTAAGAGGAGGCATTTTGGTGGGTGCTCCCAGAGTCTGTAGGAAGCTCAGCAAACCTTCTTTCCTGAAGCTTGTTTAGCTCCAAACCTTTCGCTTTTCCTCCACAAAGATTTGGCTTCATTTAGTTGGTTCTCACTCTTTTGATCGACAGAGATTTTAAACGTATCGGCTGCATTTTTCAATCCTAACTTTCGACCTTGGTTGTGTTTTTAATTCTGAGGATCTATGCCAGTTGGAGAAGCCTGGACTACAGCTCCCAGGATCCACAGCCAGCCTTGCCTACTGACGGGGGGATGGGGAACTCCAGCATTTCTGAATGGGGCCAGTCTGGGGAAAAGGGCCTCACTGAAGGGAAGAAGTAGGAGGTAGTTAACTTTTTCCAAATCCAGTTTCCAGACCGCACGGGTCTCACCTCATCCACAATGACGCAGCTCACGGGGTCCCCACCCAGCCTCCGGAAAGCTGACTTCAGCAGCTCCCCTCCGCTTGTGCTCAGGGTGCAGCAAATGATGTGGGATTCCAAGATGATGCTTGCTTTCAATTCCTGAGATCGCCCGCGAGCCTAAAATTCAAAAGGACACTTTTCACCGCTGGGGGTTGGGGGTTAGACCCCATCCCTTTGCAGCGGCCACTTCTGATTCCATGGCAGGAGTTCAAACCCTGAACAAGTCTTTTTTCAGAGGAACAGCAGGCTCAAATGCTAAAAACGCAAAATCTGGAAGAGCTTTCTGTCTTCAGATTCTGCTAGGCCACTTTGCTTGTATTCACACAACCTGGTTTAAGGTCGCTGCTCAGTCAACTCACTTCCTGGGTTCACACAGTACGCTGTACCATAAAACCAGCCACAGGCTTAGATTTGCACAAAAACTCAACCAAGTTTCGCCTATCAGACAAATGCAACCAGGAGATTCCTCACTGTGGTTAATAAATAAGGAAGAGCTCAACTGAAACAGGGCTGAATTCAGATTAAGTCAGCTTCCCTGAAATCAATGGGTCTGAAATTGTGGTTTGCTCATCTCATGAATTTCACAGGGGCCCAATTTAATTGGCTTAGTTTGGCTGCAACCAAACCATTCCTGGAACTAAGCCACTAAAAGTTAGTTTCTAACTTCTCCCTTCCAGATAAGTGTTGATTTTCCTCTGCCAAATCCTCTCGGGGGGAAATCTACTCTTGGCAATCCAAGCAGATGTTATCTGCAGTGTGAAGGGTGAGCAAGTGTGGTCTGGCTGGCACTTTCCACTGCTGAAACCAGGGCATTGCTGTTCCCTGTGTCAAGACTGCAAACTTCATGACATTCGTGACACATTCACGGAGAACACAGGAGGAATCACGCACACATGCGGGTGCCTTCCCACCAGGAAGTATTGGTTAATTCTCACCCTGATCAAGATTCACACAACCATTACATAAACCAGAGTTGCAAGCTTCTCTAATCTCAGTGAAAGGACCACCATCTCGATGGATCACGGCAAGGCAATTATTTCTGTCCTAATGTAGTTTGGGATTTATTGATCCCAGACGGAAAATAGCATCTTATCATTCTTGTCCCCTCATTCCTTTCCACTCAATATATCTGACCCTAAAGAGATGGCATGAGGTTTGTGCTTGGAAAAGAGTTATTTTCAGCACAAGCAGACAAGAACCGGGTGGACATGATGATGGAGAAGGCAGGTTACAGACAGGGAGCATGCTAAATTGACCTCTAGGACTCCAAGCAGTCATAGTCCAGAAAATTTGAGAGCACTCTTCTGTTAGTCTGAATCCCCGCCACTAAAATCAACCCCTTGCTATCCTGTCTCTGAAGATCGTGGCTTCCTCAAATGACTGAATCTGGTTCCTCCATGGCTCAACAGGCTAGCAAAGTTTCTCATTGTGCTGGGTTGAGTCAACCAGGATAATTCCAACCTTGATTCAATATGGTTGCCAAGTCATCTAAGGATGGTGGAACAGCAGCCTAGATTCCTCTCTATCCGCCATTGCCAGAAAGACGGATCCGGTCCATGTGGTTGAGGCACCACTAATCAGTCAAGATAAAAACCAGTGCCAGTGAAAATTCAGCCCAATTACTAATTCTTCCACAGCAAAAAGAACTTGGATTTCCTGTTAGAATGACGAACTGAGATGTTAAGAACTCAATGGAAGCCAACTTCTACCTCTTTCAGTTGAGAAGCCAGATGCTCCCTCTCCTTGGAAAGATGGCGAATTTCCTCATCCAACTGCTGTTTCTGAAAGGGGGAAAAAAATAACCCTCAGTTTTCAAAATCAGGAACAAACTCTGCCTCGTTCAATATTATCAAGATTAAACCACAGTTTCCTGGTTCTACTACAAAAAGGAAACTGTGATTTAACAAATATTAGATATTAGGCAGTCAGACAGAAGGACAAAAGATAAAACAAGCTACGATGGGCAGAACTCACTCTCATCCAAGAAACAATAAATAATAGATGACAGAAAAGACATGTAATCCTATTGGAACAATGCATAAGTCAAGGTTAAGGAGAAATATCAAACAGATTAAAGAGATTTATTAAGGATACATTATAGAGATTGATAACCCCGAAAACCTTTTCTGTACATTTGGCATAACTTGGGATTTTTAGGGGTCACCAAAATTAATCTATGATTCTTCAGAGACATTGGAATAAGAGCAGCTACTTAAAATGAAAGTAATATGATTTGGCTAAGATGCAATGGCATAGGTCCAATAAACTAGGGATGGGCAGAGCTTGGTCCTATGAAAACTTCTTATGGGAGTGGGCTAGAAACCTAGAGGTTGGCTGGGTGAAAAAGGATGGATGGACATATCATACTAACTCATAGTATGGATGCTATGGGTTTGACATAGCAGGCTATGCAAACCCAGCCAACTGAGATTTATTCAATAAACCATGGTTAAGTAGACTTTGGCTTACTATGATGCAGGATCAGGGCAACGATGAAGAAATGTTGACGTCCTTCTGAAATCAAAGCCTGGGAGACTGTTTTCACCAACCTGAAGGAGCCTGCAATGTTTATAGGTGCAAATCTATTCCCTCACCTAATTCTAACCACCACCTAACTTGGTTTCAGTGGTTTATTTTTTTCTCTCCCAATAGTTTGTTGCTACCATCAAACCATATGGAATCAGAAGCCCCTGCCATTCCACTGCCAACTACCCAAAAGAGTACCCTTTCCATCCCTGGGATCCAGTGGCTACCTTCTCGCTTCTGTCCATGGCCCGTTGGCGAGAAAGCATGTCCAACCGTCGATCCAAATCTTCCTTCTTCTTTTGGAGATCTTGAACTTTGCCAAGCATTGCTTTATCTACAGAAACAAACAGAATGCTTCCATTTAGCCTTGGACATCCAGCTTTCCAAATCATTGTTTGAAGCAGATTGGAGACAAAATATATTAGAACCTGCAAACTAAAGGTTACACACATACACAAAGCTGGTTTCCAATTCATCTATGGTAGATACCTGCTTCATCCTTAAGTTTATCAATTCCTTGTTCTCTTCCTTTCTATTCTCCTGTTAAGAGTAGCAACCTTTTCTTCTTTAGTAATTACTATTCTTTCTGTTCCCTTTGGAATATTCTGATTTGGACTTAAGGATCTGACAGGCCCTTATCTTCCTCAGCCCTTTGCTGGACTGTTTTTTGGGATCTGCAATGATTTGCTGTGATATTTTTGGATAGTAGTTTCCATGTGTGTTCCAGGCTGCCTGAACACAAGTCTTTTCTCTTGGTCAAATCAACACTTTATTGGACCAATACTATTCCCAGGGGTGCCATCAGGACTAGATTGTAAGAAATAATAAATAATCCAGCTCCCCACTGTGCAAGAAAGTAAAAGTGAAGTCTCACTCAAGACTCCTGATGAGTTTATGGACATATACCCATGTCGGTTTGGGGCAGAAATTCAGAAGTGGCTTGGTTGTTCGGGGATTTTTTTTAATTTCTCACCTAGTCTACAACGCTGGGATTTCTTATGGCCTCCCATTCAAATAATAACGAAGTCTGTCCCTAATTATCTTTTTTCAGAGCAACAACGCTGCCTATTAAAACCTGTAGAGCCTATAAAATCATCACAGGAAGGTTTGCCTTATTCTAACCAACGTATCAGCACAGATTATGTTTCTCTCTCCAGGATGGGCTAGTTCTGACAACACAAAGCACAGAAGAGGAATTGAGGCCGTGGTCCAGTATTTCTGCTAACCTTTGCTCCTAAGCTGAGAGGACCTGTCCACATACAGGTAAAAAAAATAAACAGGGCTGCTGAAGAACTTTTAGACTGTCCACTTCCTAACAAGAGAAAGGTGCTTAAGAAAAAGACAACACAGCAGACTTTCACTCACTGATCTTGTGATCAATCTGATCGTTCAAGCTGAATTTCCGGACTTTGCTGTTGATCGATTTTTGCTGTCCTAGCCTGACCAGGTTTATGTTGCCGCAATTGCCTGGATGTGAAAGAGGGAGAGTTGTGCTGTTTTTCAAGACGGATTCAGCAGACCCCAAATCTAGGTCTGCTGTTTCCCGTGCTACCAACCCGTTACCGCATTCCGCATCTTCGCTCAACTCCCACCCTAATTTCCTTTTGATGATTGGTTGCTCTTCCTGTAGTTACAGAGATTTGAACGCTCCGTTCTTCCATCAGTGGAGGGACCACAACCTTTATGGTTAACAGAGGCCCAGAGAAACTTTGAAAGTTGCTCAGCACGTGTCTTACAACCTACCAATGGCCATAACAGAAGCTGTGTTGTCATTCTTTTAAAAAACTGGAGACACCAGGGATATATCTGGGATCTGCAGCTTTCCTAGGATGACTTGCAGCTATCAATATAATAACAGGACAATACTGCAACCAAGAAAACTCCCCCCCTGCAGTTACATACATAATGTAATGAGCTTGGGAAAGAGGACTATGGTTTGCTAAATACAGATACTCCTTGTTTAGTGACCACAATTGGGACTGGCAACTTGGTCGTTAAGTGAAGCAGTCACTAAGTGAAATCATGACGGTGCTTATGATCTTGCTTCAGCTTTTCAGACCTCAAAGGTTGTAAATGTGAGGACTGGTTGCAAAGTTACTTTTTCATCACTGATGTAGCTGCGAACAGTTTTTAAACGAGTCAGTTGCTAAACAAGGACTACCTGTATGAGAAATGCAGAATACCTGCATGTTCTTCTTTTGTCAGAAAAATGGGTTGCCACTTTCCCAGTGCATCAGGTGAGCAAGAGCATCAAGAAATCTCTAAATTGCAGACATGGGTGTAAAGTAAACACATTAACTTGCCAAGACTTTTATAGCCTAATCCTCCTTCTCTTTCAATAAATCTAGTTAAAGAAGGCTTTGTGAGAATTGTACTTTTTCCCTGTAGGCAGCTGTGAAGGGCATGACATAAACAACAACCCTGTAGATAAAAGCCAGTAGCTAAGGGGTTCTTGAGTCCCTCTTCTGAAAGAACAATACCACTAAAGGAGTATTACAACTGGCATAAAATATATGTTTCAATGACTTAACACTTGTATAATTTCTCCTGTTGTGTCCAGTGATTACTTCCTCCAAATTACAACTACCACAAATTAAAATTAAAATAGGGAAAGAAGGGAGGAGAGACCCGATCATACCTAAAGGATTTTTCCCACTGAGTTTTTTGAATTCCGAAATTATTTTTTTCATGAGATGATCAATGGCAGCATTAGAGGGTGCACAAACCAACACACGGTTCCTCTTGATCTTGGTATTCAGCCTCTGCACGGGATTCTCGTTTCCCGATCTCTGGAAATTGAAAATGACACAATGCGGTCTGGGCTTCTGAATATAAATCTAGGAAATCATGAAATTCTTAAGGTTTGCCGGTTTGTCTTTGGAGGAAGGCAATAGCAAACCACTTGAGCACTATTGCCAAGAAACCTTCAGGATGTATCCATATTGATAACAGGGGGAGAAGGAGAGCGCCACCCATCCACAATGCAAGAGATGCTCCTCAGAAAGAACCACAGTAGTTGATGGCAATCCATAACTTTGTTTTGGAAAGACAGATACCACTCAGAAAAAAATCATGGAAACTGGGGTGATAAAGAGTTTTTACCCCTACAGGGACAAATGTATGAGTTGTATTTCTAGCTTAAAAAGAAAAGGAGCACAGATAAACCAGCAGCCATTTTGTGAGTGGGCTCACAACATGCTCTCAAAATCCACACTGGCCCAAAAGGCTAAATTCCCTACCCTTAGCTCACCTCGTGCTGACAATCAGAATATACAAAAGGACCTACCTCGCCAAGGATGCGGTGGAGAAGCCCAACAATCATGTTTGATTTCCCTGTCCCAGGTGGTCCATGGATTAAGCAGACCTTGGGCAAAGTTGGGTGCTGTGTTATCATGGCATAAGCACTTTCAATAGCTCGCCTTTGATCTTCATTGAAGTCCTTCATGTAAGAAACCTAGGGAAAGAGAGGAGGACAGACTAGCACCAGTCATCAGAAGATATTGTCTCTATGACTTACTGTAGATGTCCTCTCCTCCCTCTACAAACTCAGGTCTGAACCCCTCCTTTCTCCAAATGGCAGAAGTCAAGATTGGGAAAGAGTGGTCTATTTCACACCAGACACAGGTTATAAGAAGAGAAAGCCAGTGCTTAATTTGAACAACCATCAACATTCTTACAGGTTTCTCAGACTCGGTGTTCAAATCTCTTGGAGAGAAGTAGGAGGAGCTTGGACACAGGATTGGCATGGCTAGTGGGCTTCGTTTCAGCATCAAGAGGGCCTGGAACCTTCGCTGTGTCGTCGCCAAGGAGCTGACCACAATGCATTTCACTTCTTTGTCAATACGGGACAGATTTCCTTGAGTCTGGATGGAGAGGTGACAAGTAATCTGTTGCTCTTTCTTTTCTGTTATAAAAAACATTACCAAAGAAGACATTCTTGCATCACACTTAGTCAGAACTCATCAATGTTCAGGACACTAATCATGGTTTGATCATCCAAGCAGGCATTTTTTTAAATTACTTATCTGCTCAACAGTCCTTCAAAGGAAGCCAAATACCTACTGTCAGCAATCTCAGGTCAATTTTGACATCATACCAAACCAGGGCTTGCAAAGTGTATTTTAATCCTAATTTCTGACTTATCAAGCATGGTTGGTTGATACAGATGTCATGCTGAATGATCGCTAAGCTTCCTTCACCAAAGCCTGCGGAATTAACCTGAACAGAACCAAAATGTTGCACTTAAGATGGAAGAACAGTTTAGCCAGGATTCCTCCACCAATACTTGGAAAATCAAGGTGGCAGTAACTACAACTTTTGGTTTCTTCTTAGTACTTCTTCAAAGATAATATTTTATAGTTCATATCACCTACCCATGAAAGGTGTTTAAAGTCACAGGGAATGCATATTAGTTTTATGAAAACTTAACCTCCGGAAGTGTCTTTCTAATCTATCAGGATGATAACTCCAAGAATTCTTAGCCAGTGGAGCTTCTCTGCCTGGGAATTCTGGGACTCGAAATTCCAATGCATCTGGTTTGGAATTATGAGTTAGGCTATTTATTCCCAAGGAAGATAAGTGCCCTCTAAGTCTTTGGGGATAAAAAAGGCACTTTTCTTTAGATTTGGTAAAGCTTTTCTCTTGCCGTTTCCTACGTTACATAGTCCCTTAATATGACTCTACCCAAACTCAAATGAATCACATCAGAACAATCACCCTTTCTGGAAGAGAAGAGGAGGAGGAGGAAGAAAACAAACAATTTTGCAGCAAAGTTGACGTCAGAGATCCTTTACTTTGAATACGTAGGTGGTTTCAAAGGGGCAGGATTGCTATCATTGCAATGCAAGTTGTTGTTCTTGCCATCTGTCCTGCTTAATGGCAGGATCCCCTTGTTTTGCATCACGATCACTAATTCTTATATCAAAACTTATCAATATATCGCACAAGAATGGGCTTGTTTTTTGACCTGGCTTGCTTCAGAGCCTGAAGAGGATTAAAGCTGAGAGAAAGGGACCAGCCCAAGGTCACCCAGCTTGTTTCTCTGCCTAAAGTTGGACTAGATCCTGGATCTCCTTGCTTCTAGTCCAGTACCTTAAGCACTGTACCATGATGGTTCTCGTACCTCTGCAAGGCAAGTTAACCTACCCCAACCCCACTTTAACACTAGAGGCACATATGTATTAAATTATACCAAACAATCAGGCACTTTCCAGATGTTCTACAGAATCTCCACAGACTCCAGCCCAGATGCTTAACTATGATACAAGTTTTGATCTGGATCACTCGAAGGGAACAATCTGCATGCCCCAGCTATTAAAAATTAAATGTGATTTGGACTTAAAGTGAGTCTGGCATGAGAAAAAGCACAAGATACGATATCTTATTATACACCATACCAAGCCACAATGCATTTGTTTGCTTCTAGCTTAGGGTGATTTACAAATAACATCTGTGTACAAGCTGTACAGTAGTCTGTTCTGAAGCAAAGCTTGAAATCATTATTTATCAATGATTTCCTGATTACAACTAAGGCTTAGCGGCTTCTGTGAAATTTACTTGCTTGTTCCCGGTTTGATTTTACGCCTGTCTAAACATTTAGCCAATGCAAAATTGCGAGGCCAGAGCAGGTGTTCAAAAGGAGGGGAAACAAACTAGAAACCGGCTCAGCAAACTGTGATTTATTTGCTGGTTTGCAAAGCTAACCTGGACTTATCCACGTAAAGAAAGCCCAAATTCTATGCTGACCCAGAAATCTAATTACAGTTCTTTGGACAGCAGCTAGAACAGTCTTTTGATGTGGTACTGAAGCAAAAAGGGGGGGAAAAAGAACAGAAATACTTACTAGTACCATGAACGGAAGAATGAGAAAAACGAGTCACGAAGCCAACATGGCGCACTACACATTTCTTCCCCTCTTGTTCATCATAGGAGGACCGTTTGTCAGACCCTATTAGGAAGACCAAGTCATCCTCCTTGGGGTGGTGCTGATTGTCCAGATCATGCTGGGAAATGTTGGCTGGGGGGGCAAAAAGCAAACACAGGATGATCAACCAGTTCTGCGCAGAAGGCCACATGTTATAAATCAGTGAACATTAAAAAAAAAAAAATACACATATCAAATGCTTCAAAAGATTCAAAAGAAGTTTCTCTGAAAGGCATAGGAACCATCTGAGATCGTTTTCAGCCTCCAAAATATGACTGCACAGCGCTGAGTCCCTGTATTTCTACATCTTTTATTAAACAATGTTTGAATTCCAGACCAGGAAAGATTCAGGAGATGGTTTTGTAAACAGCCACCTGCAGACAGCTTTATTACCTGCCAAGGAAACGATCGGATCATCAACTGACAGAAAAGCAGCAGAGAAGGAAATGAGTTAGGCTACTCCTGACATTTATAAAATTTGTATACTGCTTCAACTCCAGTAGACTTTAAGTGGTCTATTGGGGTTTAAATACATAGCAATATTAAATACCTATTATAATAATGCAGTAATGGTACTATGGCATCAGCAGGACTTGCCATTAAAAACCTAACTGTGATGTTGTTATGCAATATCTTTATCGTATTTACCTATATGTATATCGATATTTGTCTTTACCTCTTCGCTTACATACTGCTGTTTTCTCACCTGTGAAATCTGCGTTGTTCATATCCATGTTGAAGTTCAGTATGTTCAAGTAGAAAGGCTTCTGCTCTTTCATCTTCTGATTCTCCAGCCATTCACATGCCACCTAGAACGGGGGGAAGCAAATATTGGTTTAACATACCAGCTGGATAAGACACCACCACCTCTGTGACACCATATTCTGCTCTGACATGGAAACATTTCTCATTCCCTCATCTCACACCTCCAAAGACCTCTGGTGGGAGACTTCCAGAAGGGCAATCACGCTGATACTAAAATATGGCCCCTGGACTGAACCTTGTGCCTGAAACACTAAGTAATCACACTCAGACTGAATTCACACATGATTCGCTTAATCATGACTTATTGAACCATCTCATCTGTCCAGCATCTGTCTGAAGATTGAGGCAGAGAGAATTCCTGCCCTTAATTGCTAATTGGTTCCACAGGCTGAACTCCTTCTGTTCATAACTTTCAACCCAAGTCTAACCTCAACTGAACTCCTTCCATTCATAACTTTCAACACAAATCTAACTTAAGGTGACTTAAACTCAGCATCACAAGAATAGCAGACAGCACATTTTTGTCTTTTTCTACACAGCAGCTCTCTGTCTCCTCTTAGTTTTTCCAGGGTCCTACCAGCCTTATGTAGCACTGAACAAGCTACCTAGGCAGGTAAGGAAATCTTGCAAATGAAAAATTAAGTTCACAGAACTTCTATAGCCCAACATTCCTTTTTTTTATAGACTTACATTCCTTTTTTCAACACAAAGCAACTCACGACTTCCATAAAATGCAATAAAGTCATGCGAAGTTATATATATATATATATATTTAAAAATCACAAGGTAGAGCCGAAACAGAGGCACCATGCTCTTCCTCTGTCTCATGGCTCATTATTTCTGCAGAATTGACAGACGTCTGCTGTTTTCACTCATGCAACCAATCTTCGCTAATATGCTGGGAGCTACCTTGAAATGTGTGAGGTAGACATCTAAATGTCTTTGACGAAGAAAACCGCTTACCTCTTCAAAGGCGTTGAGGATCATCAAGGGGAAGAAAATGTTAAAATAGTCATCATAGTTCTGAAATTTGACTGGAACAGGGTTCACTATTGCCTGCAAGAGGTGATTTGGTGGCCCAAGCTCTCTGGAGTTGGCAAACATATCATAACTCCACTTCAGGATGCATTTGGTGAAAAATCGGTGGTCTCTATGCTGGCTGTGAGTACTGCTGGCTTGTGCAAAGGATGGGCGTGCTTCCTGTCCAGTGCCAGAGTGTGGAACAGGCATCTTACTGGCATTACCAACAACATGGCTGTTTCGTACATTGTGTGGCTGGGAGATGTTATTCAAATTCTGAGATCGAAGGATATTGGCAAGAGTTAGCTTGGTCCTCAAACCATCTACCTTCAATGCAGGAGGTATGGCTGGATTGGATTTGGTCTTCATTGCTAAAGGGGTGGGTCTGGTTTCTAGGTCTCTGGAGAGGCTGGCGACACATGAAGAAGCATTGGCGCTGAAAACTTTCTTTGTGGGAGGCCTGGAAAGCGCGCAGGGCTTGGCAAAGACATGGTCTGGTGCGTCAGGCACAGTATGACTTTGGCAGAACAGCCTTCCTTCATCCACCCTTTTAGTACATCCTGTATGTCTGCACTTCTCAGCGCCTTGGTGTTGATCCTGCAAGGTTGGGAGAACATCTAATTCTATGTCTTCCGGGCGACTATGACTTTCCATTTGCGAACAAAGCTCCATGTCCACTGGATCCCTTTGCGTCAGGAATAAGTCATCCTCATCCTGGTTAACATCCTCCTTTAAGGTAGACCCATTCTCATTCAAATCCACACTCTTGTTACACCAACTGGAAGAGGAACCTGCCAAGACACAAGGGTTGGCTCTACTGCCTTCACTTACAGAAGAGCAGACATTGCCTGGAGCACCAGTGGTACCTCCTTGAGCATTTGGGTCAGGCGTGATAGGGTCTTGCCTTGAGGATGGAAGAGCCTCTCTTGCTGGAGAAAGAGGTATAGTAGGGGACCTGACCTCCTCTCGTGAATGCTGTGGTAGCAATTTCTTCACGCAGTTAGAAGAACTACTGGCCTGGCCAGGCCTTTCTTTTAGATTTTCAACCATCATCTTGCTGGTAGACTGCATGAAGGACTTGGGAACAGCTCTCTTTGCTCCTTCTCCAACTTGAGCCCTAGGATGTTCTCCCTGAACATCCTGATCTTTCCCTCTTTTTTTAGGTCTCGACTGTCTGAAGAACTGACACTCCTGGCTGGCTAACAGCTTTTTGTTCCGAACAACCATCTTGCGAGGTTCAATTAGTTTGGCCCTCCTTTTCTGGGGAAGCTCCCCAGCTGTTTTTCCATGGCTGCGCAACTGGGCGAGGCTGTCTTGAGTCCGCTGGGAGAGGTCAGCTGCTCTGCGGGCTCTTTTTTTCAGGCCCAGCTTTTCCACAGTTGATGTCGGCTCAGGAAAATGGTGGACTTTCTTGGGAGGGACCACAAAAGGACGAGTGGATCTAGACAGCCCTGCATGTGGCGATTTCTTTTCTGTCTTGATATTTCTTTTCTCAGGACTCCGCTGAGCTGTGTTGATCCAACTGGATTTTGCCAGACTCTTCCTTGGGCCAGAAGTGGATTCTTTGGCAACCAGTAATGGTGCCACAGGTCCAGCTGCTGCTGCAGCTGATGGTGTACTGGATGTAATTGGCTCACTCTGTCTGGAAGACTCCCTACCATCAGCAGGTATGGCTGTGAAATACTTTGAGCAAATGGCTATGCTTCCCTTGCTGACACCTTCTTCATCAGCCTGGACAGGAAGCTTCGGTTTGGTTTTACAATCTTTCACCTGCTGTTCCAGTTCCTGCTCAGCTTTTTCAATAATATCATCCCCAAGATAGTCTGTATCGTAATCCCGTTCACTAGGCTGCCTTGTAAACTCTAAGTCACAGGATGTGGACCTGCCAGTTGTCTTCACTGGAGAGACATCTGCCTCCGACATGTCTAGCTGGCTATCTTGCCAAGCGGAGTAGATCTCTTCATCGGTTTCAAACTCAAAACACTGTGATTCACATTCCCCGTACAGCAATGGAGAACTGGAGACTGTTACAAGATCTCGTTCTTTGGCATCAAGATCCTTCGGAAGGGACACACTCCCATTTTCTTCTTTGCTTTTTCGACCAAAGTTCACTTTGTTCTCTTCTTCATCTGAAGAAGTGTCTGAAATGATGATGACGTGGTTTGAGGATTCACCTGCTCCAGAAGACAACTTGCCATTTTCGCTCTCAGACAATGATCTAAGTGCCCCTTGAACCTTCCTTTGAATAGGATTCTGGTAACTTAAGGTACTTTCTTGACAGGCAACTAAGGACAATTTACTGTCTCTCTCTATTTTAGGCTCTGTCACTCGGCTGGCAGGGACTATAGATCTCTTCTTCAGCAGCTTCTCTCTAATCTCCAACAAGGGAACATTAAGTTCATCATCTGTGCTACTTTCTTCTGAATCTTCCCCACCTTTCAATGTTCTCGTAAATTCCACCAAATTATCAGTGGGTTCCTTTTTTATGGAAAGAATGTCAACTTGAAAACAATCATCTGAACTTAGCACTGGTTTGCAGTGTACCCGATTTGATGTACAACTGCCATCTCTTGCAATTCTTCTCTTTGTTCCTTCCTGACCCTGATTCTCCTCAACAGACTGCTGCTTTTCACTCTCTGGCCCTAGCATGGTATTTCCTCTCTTCTTATTCTCAACAAGCTGTTTTAATTTCGAAGTCAACTCAGCTTTGCTTGACTTTTTTTCTGCAATAATTTTTGGAAGCATTTTTTCTCCTGAAGCAGGATTGCTGTTCCAGTGGTTGAGATCAGCTTGGACAATTCTGGGTTTCTCTTCCTTCTCATTGATATCTTCAGCCCCTTTCTTCTGAAAGCCTTTGTCAAAACTGCTTTTGTTTAGGGAACCGTTCTGGTCCACCGGTGTAGGGTGAAAGTTTCCACTGTTCTGGGCATCCATGCATCCCCCTGCTAATGGAGAGTGTGACTTACTGTCTTCATGTAGTAAACTCTCTTTAGGTTCCTGTTTAATGTTGACCACGTGGAACTCTGAATTTCTCTGATGGCTTTGTTCTCTACAAATGGCTCCCTTTGGTCCCTCATTTCTTCCCTCAGACAATGATCTTTCTCGAAAAACTTCATCCTGCCTTTTTGGTGATTGACAGGATGAGTGTTCTTGGGGAAGATGGACTGGACTTCTCCCATCTTGTTTTCTGGAGAGACTGGATGACACAACGCAACTTGTGTGACTCTCTCCGTGGGAGGAAGCATTTAATGATTTATTCCGGAGGCTTCTTACGATCTCAGTCAAACACGCCTGTAATTCTTGCACCTGCTGGGGGCTCAGCTTCCAGTCCTCATGACTACGCCGAAGCAAATTTAGCTCGTCGAGGAACGGGGATGCCTTTTCTTCGATCTGGTAGCCCTCCTTTAGGAGGACCCGGATCAAATTCATGCAAGCAGACTGTATCGAATCAGGTTCCCAAGATGGTGTTTTTGCAATACTTTTGGGCTCGTTTCTGGCCAACCCCCTCTCCGCACCACAGGTGAACGCCATACTCGGAAGTATGGCGCATTTCACCACCACCTCCACCCATTGCTCCGAGGTGATCCACAAAGTGGTGAAGCATTTTTTTTTTAAACTTTGCTCAACGACCGCCACGAGGATCCAGATGAAAAACCCAGACACTTTGTCACGAGGTTGGATTGCGTTGTGGAGGACCTCTTTGATTTCCGAATACAGGTGGTGGATGACAACTACACTGAAGGCAACGCCCAGGTCCTTGAGATCCATAAGGGAATGGACAAAGGGAATGAACCAGAGAAAAGTGCTATGGTGCAAGCGCATGTCTCGACCAATGTCATACTGGAACATGTCCCGCAGTGTCTGCATGTCTTCATAAAAGTTTGGGCAATAGTCCAAGTAAGCAGCAGTCCTCAATCTTGAGTCCTGAAATAAAATCCAGACAGTCAATGAATGCTTCTGCTCATTCCTGAACCTCTGATCATCTAAGACAGTGTTGTCCAAACTTGGCCACTTTAAGATGAGTGGACTTCAACTCCCAGAATTCCCCAGCCAGCATGGCTGGCTGGGGGATTCTGGGAGGTGAAGTCCACTCATCTTAAAGTGGCCAAGTTTGGACAATATTGATCTAAGAGATGATACTTCTTGCCTGATTAGGCCTTACCCACCTCCTGCAAATCTGATTTTGTCACCAGAAGAGGAGCAAGTTTTTAAAAAACTTGCCACCAATCTGGAAAGGCTTCTGGGATCAAACCTCCAGCAATGAATGGCTTGAATGACATTTCTTTATTCCATTTGCATACAGCCTTCTTTTATTTATGTATATATGTATATATATTTTATTTATATATTTATATAGCCACCCACATCACAAGCACATGACTCTGGGCAGCGTACAACACAACCACGGCTAAAAATTCCGCAACTATCTAAAAACAATCAAAAATAAATAAGATAAGTATATAAACATATAAAATAAAGAGATAAACCCCAAGAAAGGAAGAGAACAAACATCACTTCATCTCCTACAGCCACCTGGCAGGCTCTCCCTGGGACCCCCAAGGCTGGTGAAAAAAACATGTTTTAAGGGCCTTCTGGAAGGCTAACAGAGATGGGGCTAACCTCACTTCAGGGGGGCTGAAGCCGAAAAGGCACATCTCCTGGGTCCTGTCAGATGGAGCTCCTTTGGGGACAAGACCCTCAGCATACCCCTCCTGCCTGACCTGATGGGATGGGCAGAAGTAATTGGGAAGAGGCAGTCCCTCAAATAACCCGGTCCCAGGCCATGTAGGGCTTTAAAGGTCAAGAGCAGCACCTTGAATCACACCTGGAAGCAAACTGGTAACCAATGCAGCTCGTGGAACAGAGGTGTAACATGTACCCTCCCAGGGGCACACGTAACTCTTGGCGCAGCTGCATTCTGCACCAGTTGAAGCTTCTGGATGCTCTTCAAGGGCAGCTCCGTGTAGAGTGCTAATCAAATACAATTGACAAAAACACACAACACAATCAAAAATTTAACACGTTCACGATAAAAATAAAAAAAAATAAAGGCATAAAACAGCTGGGGCAATCTGAACTCATTAACAATAAAAATACACACAATAGTAATAATTGAGTAATGATAGTAAAAGAATGGAAGACTAGTGTAACTTGAATTCTTTATCCCAGCTTTGTCATCATCACATTTAATTTAACTGAATACATTTTTCACCGAATGGTTTAGTGAACTAAGACAAAAACACTGAACCCAATAGTACCGCTTAGGATGTTCAGAAATTACCTTGTGAGGTTTTTCAGGGCTGTAGCTATATACAATCTGGCTGCAAGTCATTGTTAGATCCCCGTAGTCTGACAGTGGTTCGGATTTTGTCCTACAAATGGATGAAGTCAAAAAAGGAGCATGTCGTTCGTGGGTTCTACATTCCAGATGACAACCATGAACAAGATAAAACTACACTCACTTTCCTGAAATTTGGAACATGGAATAAGAGAATAAAGTGTACTCAAACACACTGATATTTACCTTTGGTTAGTCAATATCCAAGCAATAACATTTAGGGATGTGTGTGAAATGGTTCATGCACAAACCTTTCCATGTGCAGAACGGGTGGCTTTGGGCAATGCGTGTTTGGCCGAAACACAGTTCTGTTTTGGATTCAGAACACAATGATATTGTTTGGGTGGGGCCAAAAGGTGAAAGAAATGCCAACAGCTAGCGGCTTATAGTGAATTACTGATCTCCTTCACCCGGATGAGCCAAAAGCAAGACCCACTGGGTTACGCAGGGCTTATAAAATTTGGCTACGTGTATACGATAATAGGAGCTCCCAACAGAGAGAACTGCTTTACAACTGACAAGGAAACAAGAGAACTCTAAGGGAGATATGGGTCTCTTCCTTAAATCTGAGTTCCCATTTTCCAATCCACATACCCATTTGCAGTCATTAAACACGAGTAAAAGGGGTAAAAGGAGTAAAAAACCTGTGGCAGCTTTGGCGAATGCTCTCTATTTCCTTCTTATAGCTTGCGTTGTTGATGATGGCGTGAAACGCCTGGATTGGGTCCACC